GCTGTTAGCTAACTCTGGTGCAATGACTTTTAATCGTGGGTTGTCTCTGCGAAAAATAAACCACTTCAACAGAAGGTGATCTGATATCTTTTTTTATTAATTATTGTAGCCTTTTAGTGAGTTGCAAAAGTTAACTTAATAAGATTCAGTAAGAGGCTCAAAAAGAGTCTGATGATAAGTGGATTTGAAACTGGATTTGAAATTCAATACAATGATGAACCACTTCCTTTGTCATAACCACTTCAATATTTTTGTCTGCAACTAAAAACTTTTGTCTGGCTATGGGTCTTATTGTTGTTATTATTATTATTATTATTATTATTACACTGAGATATACTGTTTTTTCTTCCTCCTTTCACTCAGGGACTATGTCCAGTACTGGGCAGAGCGAGGTGTGGAGGTGGTGGGCTGGACTGTGAACAACGCTGTGGAGAAAGACTACTACCAAAACCTGCTGAAGATTGGCTACATCACCGACAGTCTGCTGGAAGACTGTGATGCTTATTACTGAATGATCACAACACACACATACACACACACGATGACATTTTACAGCTTCTTATTGAACAAATTCGTAGTTAGAAACTCCTATGTTAGACAAGATATGACATAATAACCATAATTACTACATTTTACTTTACATTTTACTACAAGTTTCTTGTCTTTTCAAAGAACATACATACTGAAATATGTAGATTAAGTGAATTATAAGGTGGAAGGAAGCCAGAAATTTGGTGCTAACTAGCTCTGTAGTGGCAATCAAACAATTCATGCTTTATAGAAATACATATATTATAGAGGTAAGAACACATAACTACCTGTAGCTGGCATACAGGTAAATTCCCTTTTAAATTTACAGACACATTAAACCATGAAGACTCAACTGTAAACTACCTTGTCCTTATCCTACTACCAGCAGCAATACCTCCACCTCTCCTGGACCAGGGATTAGGATTACACCACCTTAAAGATCTTTTCTACCTTCTGTGCTGATCTTTCAGAGGCTTTGATGTACCTTTAAAGAGACATCAGTGTATATACTTGTAACATTAGACATACTGGCGTCATATCAATGCCTGCCATCTTAATATTTATTTAATAATGGGCTCTAGAGGATCTCTTGTTAATATTCGGCAACTTGACATGCTGATACTTGATTGTGGAGAAACTTGCCTTCCGTCGTTAAGTTGCACAAACCTTAAGACATTAAAACTTTGACTGACTCAACGGTAAAATGATAATATCTGATTGTATCCTCCAAAGGATTTCATTCCTGAGGGAAAGTAAATGCACCGTTGAACCTGCGTAGAGGCGTGTGTAGTTCAATGCTTTACACTTCTTGAATACCCTCATTATTACGACTAGATACTATGAAACCTGTACGCTTTAATTTCTTCACATGACTTTTATTCATTTAATCTTTCAGTTGTATTTTCTCTATCTCACCACATGATGGTCTAATGCTGCTTTAAATAATTGTCCACGCTGCTAGGAATATGATTTGTACAGAAAAATACTAATTCTCTTCACTTTAATTTAATTAAATTTAACAGTGTTGCCTGAATACGGTCACGTTTAAAGATAATTAGCTGTAAAGAATATCAGAATCAGCCTTAAGAAGCCTGTCTGTAACTGTAGGATGTGAACTAGTCCCAGAAACATCGGAGTTTTTTTTAAGATATTTAAGGAGTTCTTGGTGAAAACTTGTTACCAATAACTTGTTTCGACAACAACATTTCTCTTGCCTTTTATTTCCTGTAGTGTGAAGAATGTCTTATAATCTAATAAAACTTAATAAACTCGTCATAATAGGTTGAAATAACTCTGAATGTAAATCCAGTTTGCTAAACTGATGTAAGTCAATAATGCCTTTTAAGTGAAAATCTTAAATTAATAAAATTTTAAACAGTAGTAGCTGATGAGTTTTCTTTGTGTTTTCATTTAATGGCCAAATGGGTGTCTTCGTCAACCCTTACTATAATTTTCCATTTATGTAGTATATAGTGATGCTTGAGTTGCATTATAAACATGGTTGTGTGTGTGTGTGT